CAAATTTTTTTAGAAAGAGGACAGCGTATATGTAGAGAAACCAGAATCGGACAATTGCATTCACGAGGTAATGGGAATAAAAAAAACATATCAGGAGAAATAAAATCCAATCAGTACGTCTATCAGACGACTATCATTTTGAAATATCTCAGCTGATAAAAAGTAAAATCGGAAATCGGAAATAAAATTGCTGGTAAACGTGTATTACGGCGTATATGGGCTGTGTATTGTGTTATCAGGATAAGCCTGTATTATTTAGCTAAATAATTGGTTACCCCGTGCCACCACCTTTTCCCTCTTCACCTTTTGTCATTCCTCTCCAATCTCTATCTCCCTTTTCGAGGTCTCAGAGAGGAGATCGAGTCGTTTTTTTTTGACTCTCCATATTTCATTCTCCAGGTATTATTCCTTCTCACTTGCCCCGCCTCCCGGGGTCCCGAAATCCCCCATCTCCCATCCCCAATGAGACTGATCAATTTCAGCACAACGTTGCTAACCCTCACATTTAGAGCCTCGATTGCTCGTTTTTTTTTCGGGTCTCATTCGGGTCGCACAAGCAAGATGTCGACTACATCTGGTAACATCTGTTGAGCTATCCATCTTCAGAGTTCTCCCGGTCCATCACCATTCTACCCCCCGTTGACGCCATGGAGAAAATCAACACCGGGGATGGACAACTTTTCATAAAGGTTTGTGTTTCTATGCAGCAGTCGCCTGATCATCGAGATGATAGAGATTGTCTGGGTATTTAGTCCTACAGACAGCTAACGCGCATGGTTACCATAGAATGTCGCTAGCTATGTCCGCACCCACGAAAAGGCCCTCGCCAATGCACTACAACTTCGTCGTCAACCCACCAAAAATGCTATTCCACAATCACCCAGTGTTCCTTTGACCCCTGGTAGCTCTTTCGCCTCGACCTCCTCAACCCTGGCTGCGGCCTTCTCATCCGCGGCATTGAAATTCATGTCGCAGAACGCCAAAACCGCCAAACTGACATTGACTCCCCATCACCTTTTCTACCTTCTCTCCCGTTTTGAGGAATTGACCATTGCCGTGGGCCCTATGAACATCAGGTTGGAGAATATTCACACCGAAGTTTCGCAATCCTATGTTTCATTCCTGAACAAGCCCCAACAGTCCCGGGGCGATCGGGCTTCCATCCATTCGGTGTCCAGTGTTCGTAGTGTGATGTCTGGTATGACCGACCTCTGGTCATCTTTCCGCCTTGGATCCAAGGATACCCCAACCAAATCGGACAAAGCCAAGGCCGCCTTGGAAGGGGACCTGAAGTACTTGTACTCCGCCTTTACGAAGATCCCGTGTCTTCGTCTTGCCCCAGACCACCGTGCTCCCCTGATCTCTGGATATGAAGAATTTCCTTTCGATACGGCTGTGCCGCTGCACTCCTTTAAGAATCTGAGCGCTTTAGAGATTATTGATCTAGATTACCGTTCTTTCTATGGCTGGGATAGATTGTCTGAGCAACTACGCACGTTGACCATCAAGAGAGCCCACTTGGATGATCCGGCCGATCTTTTAACGAGAATTGTGTTGGACGACATCGATAAACGCCGCCGACGGTCTGCCAAGTCTCAACAGTCTCCCTCGCTGGGATGGGGCAGCTCCAGCAGTCAGCCAGTTCACGCCCCCGACCAGGCAAACTCTATCTCAGCCCCTGGATCTCCTATCGTGGACACAGCATTCGGAACCAGTACCAGTCCCAGATCTTCCCCGATGTTCCGAGCCGGCTCAGAAGGCGCCAAGATTCGTGCCAGGGCCGGGAGTGTCTCTCCGACTCGACCGAACACGAAGCACAGTCACCGTCGTGGTCAGTCTCGGCAAATTCGTCGCACAGGTTCCGCAAGCTCTGAATCAAGCGAGACTTCTACTGGCCATCGAAATGGAAGCTCTACAAACCTACTCGCAGACGTCCTCTCGCCTTCAAAATGGCGATTCCTGCGACACCTGGGTCTCCCTGAAAATTCCCTGACATCCGTCTCTGCTGCTAGTCTCGCCCCTGTAGCCAACAGTCTCAACTCCCTTGACCTGTCCTCTAACCTCTTGACGGAGATTCCTGACGGCGTAGCGTCACTGGTGGCATTGAGAGCCCTCAATTTGTCGCATTGCATGATTGAGTCTCTTCACTCCCTCACTCGGAATCCCCTTCCCGCCATCACCGTTCTCACCCTCCGCGGAAATCGCCTTCGTTCGCTTGCAGGCATTGAGCGGTTGCTCTCTTTGGAAAGATTGGATCTTCGTGACAACAACCTCACGGACCCGACGGAGATTGCTCGGCTGACCAGTCTCCCTGAAATACGGGAGATCTGGGTATCTGGCAATCCATTCGTCAAGACCCACTCTGGATATCGAGTTGTGATCATGAACCTTTTCCGCCGGACGCCTGGTTATTCTGAGGACATCATAATTGACGGTAGAGGTCCGGGGTATACTGAGAGGAAACAACTTGTTGAGCGAGTTGCAGAACCTCAAGCTGCACCGGTTGTACGCTCCAGCCCAGCAGATGACTCAACTGTTGTGCAGAAGTCTACCATCTCGAAAGTGCCCCACGATCTTGCAATCTTCAAGCCTCAAGAAGACGAGGGAGATTTGCACATTAATGGTACAAATCTAAAGGAAATTGAAGGGGGAACCAACCGCCGCAAAAAGCTCCAACGACGCAGGATAGTCGATATCTCGGTGGATAATCCATTTACCACCGATGGTCTGGGTAATGCAGGCAGCACCGCTCTTCCAGCTCTTCCCGTTCAGCAACTCCAACCGCCAGTTGACCGTCCGATTGTTGTCCCCGTTGACCAGCCGTGGAGGCTGGAAAGCGCTGCGCATTCTGGATCGTCAAGCATCCAAAGCCCCGAAAAACCTGTGCATTCGAGCCCCCCTCTTGTACAGGCTTTGCAGGGCAAGGATAGGACGATGGATGAAGAGTTCTGTCGCCAGCAGCTGGAAGTTCTTCGCCAGGACGTGGGCCATAACTGGCTAACTGTTCTCGGCGAGAATGACTGGAATAACTCCCATAAAGACTTCGCTCACAGCTCTGGTGCGGGCTTGGACCATTCTCCTCATATTTCCCCACCCACACTCACCCGCTCGAATACCCAAGCGATCCTGAGCGGACATGCGCTTAGCGGATAAAATACCCTTCTTATTATTTACAGTTCTCGGCCCATGACATCTCCTGCCGGAACTCCGTCTGGCTCTCACGTTTCTATCTCATCACTCCCGGAGTTCTCTCCGTGGATGCGACGTTTACCTGCTTCAGCGGGTTCTGTCATCTCTTTTCTCCTTATTTACGAGGACCCGACTCCCCTCGTGCAGTCCCTCGGGACTCATTTGAACAACATATCCCCAGCACCAGCAGCTGATCATTCTATGCATTGTTTTCGGCGTTGGATGACTTATGAGACATGGTGGGTTGGATGTATGAACTATTTACGGCCGTCTTTTTTGCGTTTTTCTTTTCACCGTTCCGTGCCTCCATTTCCTTTTCTTTTCCAAAACGAATCCTGCGATGACCCCTGGTTTTTGGGAGTCGGCTTGATCCACGGAAGGCACAGTGAAAGACATTTTGTTTTCGGTTCTAGCGTTGTACTGTATGATTCTGAATTTTCGGGCATGTTGGCGTTGGATGGATCTTTTGACTTGTTTAATTCCCCTCTTGTTACTTCTTAGTTTTGTCCTGTTTTCAATTCGTTTTCTGTATAATGCTGCATGACTTCTGGACAAGCAGCATTGTATAAGACTAGAGCCCCGAGCTCATTTGTGAAGAATGCCAATTATTTTGGAGAGTTTCCTATATTTCTACTTTTTCTCCGGTTCTACGTCTCTATTAGGCATCTAGATATCCGTTCCGTAGAGCCGAAAGATCCAATAGTATGGATTTTATTCGTAGGTTATAGATACAAAAGGAATATAGAATGGTATTATAGTATGGATCTTAGTCTAGATGCACAATCTAAATGCACTATTTTAGTAGATCAGCCTCTTCTTTCGTGCTTGGACCCCGTTTGGCGTCGAGGGCGTTGGCAGTCTCGACCTAGAACCCCCTCCTCTTTGCAGATTTTTTTTGTATCAAAGCGCCTGTAACACAGAAGAGATAGAAAGGGATAAATAGAATAGAATAATAGAGTAATAGAATAAATGCAAAGTAGAAAGGGGAGGGGGAATAGGTTCTTTTATAAGCGCTCTATATATAACATAACCCCCCTCCTCTCTCTCTCTCCTTGGGGAAGATCAAACACGCGCAAACACAAAATAGGAACTTCCCGCTTTCTTCTTCATAAAAGATTCTCTTTTCTTCAACCTTCAACCCCATCTCCATCTCCACATTCACGTTTTAAGTTGATGTTTTTGAGATTCAAACTGGTCTGACTATCGTACCGAGAAAATTTTCTCCCTTGATTGAAATTTCCCTTCCGATATCTCTCCATACATCTCGACTTCATCCACTCTTCGGCTTTCTTCATCAAGCCGAATTCGCTAAGAGTTCATTGCTCTTTCGCTCAGCCTCGTTTATCTTGTGAGGCGTCTACGAGCCCATTCGTTTCTCTTTACACCGTGCGCGTACACAACAACTCGGATAGGCACCACCGTCCAACACCCGTCTGGCATCTCTGCCAGAACTGTTTTTTTCCCTTTCTTTCCCGTGGCCGTTAGGCCCTAATTTAGATCTGTTTGGTCTTGAAATCTTCTGTTTGGTAGGCATCCCTATTCCTTTTTCCCTCCGCTGCTCCCAACACAACCCGACCGCCCAAAGGGGGAAGAAAAATCAACGGAAAAAAAAATTCAAGCGCGTTCTTCAATTTCACCTCAACTTGGGGCTTGCAATGCGGACTGGACTTCATCTCAATCTGGAACGCTTTATTAACTTGTTTTTCCGACAGTAACAGGACATAGTCGCCGCGTCATCAAACCTCTGTTATTCTCACCCGATCGCTCCGGAAGTCTCTCTTCCACCTTTCGCTTTTCTTTTCCTTCACCCATCTTTTTTCCTCTTTCGTGTTTTCGTTAGACATTATTCGCTATGGCCGATCAGGAAGTGGATCTGGACTCGATCATCGACCGGCTCTTGGAGGTGAGGGGTAGCCGCCCTGGAAAGCAGGTTCAGCTGCTCGAGTCAGAGATCCGTTTCCTCTGCACCAAGGCTCGTGAGATCTTCATCTCTCAGCCCATTCTTCTCGAACTGGAAGCGCCCATCAAGGTGAGAAATTTCTTTTTGTATCTGAAGGGGTTTTCGAGTTGGAATAGGCCTCCGTCTAACATGCGTGTCTTGCTAGATTTGCGGTGATATCCACGGCCAATACTATGACCTCCTGCGTCTCTTCGAATACGGCGGTTTCCCCCGGAGGCTAACTACCTCTTCCTCGGTGACTACGTCGACCGTGGCAAGCAGTCTCTCGAGACCATCTGCCTCCTCCTTGCATACAAGATCAAGTACCCCGAGAACTTCTTCATTCTGCGTGGAAACCACGAGTGTGCCTCGATCAACCGTATCTACGGTTTCTACGATGAGTGCAAGCGCCGATACAACATCAAGCTCTGGAAGACTTTCACCGACTGCTTCAACTGTCTCCCCATTGCCGCCATCATTGATGAGAAGATCTTCACCATGCACGGTGGCCTGAGCCCTGATCTCAACTCGATGGAGCAAATCCGCCGTGTCATGCGCCCCACGGATGTAAGTTTTTCCCCTTCTCCGATTTCACCCCTCCCTGGTAAATGTGGTTCTATTGGCGAAAAGAAAAGTGGCAGCGTGGCACTGGGTTCGTTCGGCTGAAAGCCAACATCGCTAACTGAAATAGATTCCCGACTGCGGTCTCCTGTGCGATCTCCTGTGGTCCGACCCCGATAAGGATATCACCGGCTGGAGCGAAAACGACCGAGGTGTTTCATTCACATTCGGCCCCGATGTGGTCTCGCGCTTCCTTCAAAAACACGATATGGATCTGATCTGCCGTGCACACCAAGTTGTTGAGGATGGATACGAATTCTTCTCCAAGCGCCAGTTGGTTACACTATTCAGTGCGCCTAACTACTGTGGTGAATTCGATAATGCCGGTGCAATGATGAGCGTGGACGAGAGTCTGCTCTGCTCCTTCCAGGTGAGTTATGGAATTTTCATCCTCCGATATGTCTTTTTTTCAATTCCTAACCTTTTTTTTCTTCTTCCGATAGATCTTGAAACCAGCCGAGAAAAAGCAAAAGTACGTTTACGGTGGCATGAGCGCCGGCGGTCCCGTCACTCCTCCGCGAAAGCAAAAGAAGAAATAAAAGAATCAATACGAGCTTCCCCATGTGCAGCAGGTTCGGGCGGAGATAAGCCTTTCACAAAATCTCTTTAACAGCGCCCTCATGACACCCTCCCTACAACCCCCCGCGAGTCCCTCCCCCGGATCCACGAAAACGATGAACGACCGAGGAACCCCTCATCCGCACCCAGGGAAGTCCGATATTCCTCTTCAACTCCACCGATAATATCACAGTCACATTCTTCAACTCCTCCCAGACCCCCGGGCTCTCTCTCCCAGTGCGACATGCGATAAAAACACAACAGTCACATCATTTCCTGGCCCGTGCGACCTTCTGTACTTCCGGAGCGGAGTTCAAATGCTTATTTCTTCGTTGGTTCTCGACTTCTCTCTCTGTTTCTAACCATCTGGACTGGAAAGTTTTTATTTTTTTCCCTTTCGGCACCCTGGGAACGGAGAAGGGAAACTGGTTATCTTTTTTCTCTTTTCTTCTTCTTTTTCCTTAACTTCTTATTGTCCTGCTCCTTGACCGCATGTGTTGTTGTTTTCTTATCGAATCATATTCGTCTTTCGAATTTCCTAGTCCGACACGTACGAGGTGGTAGTAGGTACCTCTCTCTGCTGATGCATCGTATACCGGATTGGGAATGGGCGGCTCTGTTACTGGTGGTGTTTCTGTGAATCTAGCTCGGCCTTGGAATGGGGTTTTTTTCGGAGGTCTAGATTGTTTGTTATATGGGCTGTGAGAATCACATTTGAGTTTATGCTTATGTAGGCCAAGATATCTCATATTTTCTTTTGGGTAGTTGATTCCGTCTCTGATTGATACATACTTGAGGTAGATTCTTGCCTAAATTGAGGAATTGGAATATCCTTCAATCCAAGGCATAGGTATAGTATGGTAATACTTATCTATACAAAATTCTACATAGCAACAGCGATCAATATCAGTTAAATTCTATATTAATAGTTATGTTGACAGGGCCCTGGTTGCCGGTTCATACAGTGTGTCTCCGGTATTTGCGCCTGCGGCTGGCTCCGCCGGCGTCGGCGTCGGGGCGGTGCGCATATCGCCATCACTTAACGCTCTACGCATCGACTACGACACTCATGTTCCGGCTTCGTGCAGTCCGCTTCCCCTTGTTGGCTCTTAGTCGACTCTCTGCATTTATAGCCACATACTGAATGGCCAGGTAGTGCGACGGTGCGCTTTATCTATGACTTCCATCGGGGTAATGGACCAATATCCGCCATCAGTGGTCAAGTCCTGTAGCAGATGCCGTTCCAGAAAAGTGAAGGTGATTTCCCCCAAGTTCGATTCATTTGCATGCTGCTGAATATGTAGATAGTGTGATCTAAAGGTGCCCCAATGTTCCGCATGCGAAAGACAGGGGGAGGTCTGCAACATCACTGAATACGTTGCCTATCCATATGCACTTGTGGAGAGTCTTCATTCAAAAGTGAAAGAGCTTGAGGAAAAACTTGCAGCCTGTACACATGGATCGGCTCATGGATCATCCCTCAATGGTCCTACGCTTGGATCGTACTCCAATCGACAGCCAACTGTAGGAGAATCAGTTCCAGCGGACGTGAGCAAAGAAGCCGAGGAAGTAGGCGTTCTGGCTATTGGATTTTCTGATCGGTATTCTCACTCCAAATATGGTTCGTCAAATGCTCGAGTCGTCTCAAGATACACCTTGATCTGTGTAGCTAACCGGGATTCCTAGTGGGAGCCGCTGCCGGTTCAACCTTTGCGCGAATATTTTTCAAACAAGTTGGAATGACCAATTCTTCGGACAACCAACAAAATCCAGAGAATGAAAACCTGCCGACATGTACGGCTTCAATCCCATCAAGGGCAATTTCTGGGTATTTACTCTCTACTTACATCGCACGGGTTCATCTGTGGTGGCCTTTCTTGGATCTACGGCAGACCCGGTCTTGTTTTCAAAGGCTTTATCAAGACCCACAAGCATGCACAGATTTGGAGCGATTCAAGTTCTTTATAGTCCTTGCATTGGCCTCGGACGAAGCTCGTGTTGACGATGCTTATACTTCAATGCTGGATTATAATACTCCGCGGGATTATTTTCAAACTGCACTTCATTTCTTCAACCGATTCCGGGAGCATCCCCGCGACCTCCCAGGACTTCAGGCTGTCTTACTGATGACAATTTGGATGTTGAATTCACCCTCTTGCAACCATAGCAATGATCTTTGGCACCTCACAAGATATGCGATGTCCATTGCCCTCGAGTTGGGTCTTCATCGACATAATCCATCCTGGCGCTTTGGCCCCGAAGAAATTGAGATTAGGTCTCGTACATGGTGGACTGTATATAGTCTGGAGAGGTTTGTATCCAGCCATTGCCCTTGAATAACAAAAGGACAAGGACAATCGAATTTAATACTGCTAGCAGATCCATAGCTCTGAACACGGGGAGAGTCTTATCTGTGCGCGACCAGGCAATCGATACCCCAATCCCTTCGTTCACTAGTCTTGACCAGCTTACCGAGCAAGCGGCGAAGACTGCCACTTTGTTCCATGCCAAATCTGTTTGGCTCTTTGTCCATATGATTGAACTTCGGAGAATCGCCGGTCGAATTTTGGAGTCAATCTATATCGCCCGAGATCGGGATGGGCGATGTTCATCTCTCACATTCCAAGAACTCTGCTCTATTTCAGACGATTTGCACCGGCAATTGGACAACTGGAAAAACCAACTTGATGCTGCAGAAATTGGTTCATCACGAGAATCTAAATTGATGAGGATTGAATACTGCATAATGTTGATGCATTTAAACCGTCCTTCGCCGGCTTTCATGGTTCCCTCGCAAAACATGGTTGCCATCTGCTCTCACGCATCATCTAGTGCTCTGAAACAATGGGCAGCGATACTAAATGAGTCTGGGATAGATTATATCTGTCGGTGCTATCGCCAATTCCATGATATTCTCATGGCAGGTCTTGTTCGTCTATATAGTGACTGGTAAGTTAATAGAGGCTCTCTTATTTAAATATCAATATCGGAGCAGGATACTAAATGACTAGGCATATGCAAAAGGTCGCTCCAACCCCCAGACCAACTCTGCGACCTGAAGATGCTGAAATATGCCTTGACTTACTTCGCAAGGGAATTTCAAATCTTCACGATCCTTCTCTCTCGAAATTCGAAAGGATATTCCACTCCCTCAAAGAGAAAGTATACAATTACGCGTCTGGGTTTGATGAATCAAGACAGAGCATTCAATTTGCTCAGGCGCCCGACCTTTCAATATACACCAATGCGCCGGACATGACCGGGGCTCGGGAAGATAGCCATTTTGTCCCTAATACCGAAATCGGCATGATTTCGATGGGATCAGAGGGCCTGGAAAGTTATTTGAACCAAATGACGACCATTTTTGACAACGAGATGTTTGATATTGATGATACGCTGACAGCGTGGTACGGATCCGTTCTCAACGACATTGGAGATACCGATAATATGCGAATTGGGTGACAAGGTACATGTATGTATGTATGTATGCTATGTATTCTCAAATATTGTATTATTCCATCCCGGTCGTATCTAGATTATATATTTAATATGCGTATCTGAACCTATTGTTCTCCCGATCTGTTGAATCATCCAGATCCGCCTCAATCCCCTCCATACCTGGCCTTTCGCTAATCTGCCCATGAACACGATCACGGTGCTTGTTGGAAATTAGACAAGACACGAAATACAAAATTCCAGTCAGAGTCATAATCGCAAAGCAGCAGAGCATCGCCCCAATTCCCAGTGGATAATGCGGTGCTTGGTCATTGCGGAAGAACTGTGGGCCAATGATGTTTCCAACAGCTAGAATCATATATTAGCAAGGGCTCCAAAAAAAAATAAATAAATACCAAGGAGAGAGACATACCATAAAATATAGCTATGGAGATAGAAACGAAGCTCTTCTTCGTTGTTCCGCTAGTGTTGGAAGTTTGCAGACTCAATGCGAGCACCCAGGGCACGTTGTAAAATCCCATAATGTAAATGCCAGCCAGTGAGGCATTGCGCTGTGTGACTGGGTCTATAAGGTGAACCATTATAGCTCCAGCCATAGCAATGAGGGAGGATATAACCCAAAGCAAGCATCGGATGTTGGGGACGAAGAATGCGATAGTGGTAAAAACCGCCTGCGCAACCATTGCAACTGCAGCCTGTGGAGTGGCGAGTAAGGTTGTCTTGGCCTGCGAAAAACCATATCCAGATATAATAAGCGGATTGAAGTTCGTGATTCCAGCATTTGTGATTGACTGGGCTATGGCGAATGTCATGAGTATGTAGTATCTGGGGTCTGTGAGAGCGTCCAGAATTTGACCGAGCTTCATGTCCTAGAGTAACAGATACAATTAGTTTGAGCTCCCTTTACTGCTCTAGAAGACTGCATACCTTGTGAGAGCCCAGACCAGTCTGGTTTTCCGCAACGCGTAAAAGTGCAATCTTTTTCTCTTCCGCTGATAGAAACCAGGCGGTTGCAGGGCTGTCAGGCAAGGCAAAGATAACCAAGCCGCCAACGAGAATAGTTATAGCACCGTAGATAAGAAAAATATACTGTATCCTGATTAGGACGTATAGCATAGTGTGAAGAAGCGAAATAACTTACCTTCCATGTAGGCAGATCTCCCTTGATGTGTCCGATAGCATAACTCAAGATACCACCGAAGACACCGGCAAATGTATTATACCAAAACGCAGTGCGCAGAGGCTGTTCATTGCGTCGGTACCACTTTGCATTGACTAGCAACAAGCATGGAAGCAGAGCAGCTTCGAAAACACCCAGCAAGAAGCGAATGACAGCGAGTCCGGCAAAGTTGTGGCAGGCCGCCAGCAAGCATAAACATGCACCCCAGGCCACGAGACAACCTCCGATGTATTTTCCGGTTGGGAATTTTGTTATTAACCAAAGATTGGGAAATTCCATGGCAAGGTAGCCGAAGTAGAAAATGCTGCCCAGCCAGCTGTATTGTTGTCCGACCAGATTTGTGTCTGTCTTTAAGCCATATACTGCTGCATAGGCGAGTCCATTCTATTTGATTGTAAGTACCATGTATTTAGTGGGTATATATAGATGTATTGGGGAAGACGGTACCTTATCCAAGAACGCCAGTGTCATTGAAATGACGATGAGAGGCATTACAACAGCGTCGATTTTCATTAAAACGCGGCGAGATTTTGCGGCAGAAACTTCAGGTTCGAACTGCCCATCACGCACATCATATAGTATGCTGACAGGGTCGGTGCCAGAGCCTTTAGTATCGACATTGGCTGTTTGATGCATCTTGAATGTGCCGTGGGGAATATGGGAGATGGTGGTGGAGAATGTGCCCGTTGGCTTCTAGATAAAGTAGCACGAATAGAGATAAATATTAAAAAGATATGTAGAAGGGCATCAGCTATCGCATCTCATTTCAACGATGCGAATAAAAAATTACTTAAAAATCCGAAGATGAAGAGTTTGCTCTTATATTATGCCTGTACGAGCTCTATCAGCACGCAATCTAGCTATCTTCTGATGAAATCAATCTTATCATACTTTAAACGTCTAATATTAAACTGCAGTGGAGCTGATATGGAGTCCTGGGAATGCGCGTGTATAATTCGCTTGTCCACTTCTTTTCTCGGGGTGAAGCGAGAGTATATCTCGGTCTACACCGAAAGGTGGGTCTTAGGGCTTGGCATATCTCCAAGATATCACCCACGTGGGAAAGAGATATAGGCTATTTTACCACTAGACCATAACAAAAA